CCATCACTGTGCTACGTTGAAATGATTGGCTCTGGGTAATATTCCAGGCCTTTCATTTCGCCTTCACCACACTCTTTCTCGCCCATCTGGAGATCGTAGAGCCAATCTACACTCATCTGTAAAAAGTCCAGCAGACCAATCGACCAAAGACCAATGGCCGTGTTCTCGAGCAAATACGAGCAGTGCAACTCTGGTCAATTTTGGCCCTCTTACGGGACGAAAAACCATCGGTCCATGCAGATTTAATCTTCTTCGAGCAATGCGTTCAGAAATCTGGACACCTTGAACTTCCTGAAGCGGATGATTCGATTGAACAACAGTAAGGTGCCGGTTTCGCAAAATTCTCAAACTCAAAAGGTCATCTTGTGGTTCTGTTACCCTAGAGCGTCTAGAACCCGGCTTTCTATGGTAAGTCCCAGTTTCTCGAAAAATTCTAACCAATGAAAATAGCAGCATACTTGATAGAACGTCCATCATCAATAAGTGCCACACCACGCGCAACATCCTCAGCACTAAGTGGCATTTTTAAGTTTACAAATTGAAGAAGAAAGATGAAACCAAGATGAAAACTAAACAGTTTATTGTTTCAGATTACAAATGAGACTGAATAAACATTTTAAATTCTGTAAAAAGTAAACATGGAAAAATCATTTATCCTTGTTTTGGATAAAGGATTAAGGGTATTAACCTCTAATTGATATTCCAAATTTAAAACATAGCATAATCAAATATTTATTGATAAAAACAATGATCCAAATTAAAGGCAGAATTTTCTTTCAATGAAAAAATGAAAATAAAAATTAATTGGGTGGAATTTTTTGCCGGTCAGTGTATGCTATTGTTATTTGCCTTAATTTTTAATTATTATTATTATTAATTTTTTTTTAACTGGGGCTTCCGACATTCTAGGTCATTTCAGCCCCAAGCTAAGTCAATATTCTATTTACACTTCTATTTACAAACACTACATTCATACAGATAAATACATTCATACACATGAAGACATCCATACAATACACTCATTCCGTTTGGTCGGTGGAGTACTTGATATTCCTCCACCGACCTATACTTAAGCTAATCTAGATTGGGGTCGATCGAGTACTTTTATAAATATTCCGCCATCGACCCCGAACACATACTCATACGCTCTCAACGTTCGAGGGGCGATGATGATGTTATATTTCACTCTCACCCCTCGCCATTCACGCTAATAAATACATGCACTCAGACAAAACATATAGACACACAACACATGAGACATACTATATAAAATAATAAACCCCAATTTCCCCTAAAAATCGGAACAGGAGACCCTGAAACTCGCTGAAGTGCTCGAGTACCTTCTTCAGATTGGATGACATGCCTACACGCTCCCTGTAGGGAGTCAAGGCATGGCATGTTTCCAGTATGTGGGACACATCGAGCAACCTTTCTCTGCATAAGGGGCACCTGCGCGGGCTTTGGCTCAAGAGCAGGTGCCCGTGTGTCAACCGTGTATGGCCTGTTCTTAATCGCGTAAGGACGATTCCTTGTTTCCGGCTCAGGTTCTCGGGGGGCCATCTACGAATCGTGCTCTTGACGCGCAAAAGCCTCTCGGACGACCCGGCCCACTGACGCTGCCATCTTTCTTTTATTATGGTCTTTACTGCTAGCTTGGCGTCAGAGGGCCTGGTCGCGATGGTCCGATCTGGAGGGTAGGACATCCCGGCCTTTGCCGCCTCGTCCGCACGTTCATTACCCTCCAAATTATTATTATTATTTAAGGTAATTACACATTTTGTTATTATATAAATATCATTATTGTTTATTGCAAATTTTTTGTTTTGTTTCTTTAATTTTAATAATTGGTTAGTATGAATATTTTTTCTTAATGAATAGTTCTTTCTTTGTAATGGCAAACTCTGGCAGACGGCATTAGCCATGCCATTTTACTTTGTGTACCATTGAAAATGTTATTTGTATGTGTTTTATTTTTAAAATAAAAAGTATTTCAATCAATCAATAAATTAATTCCAGGGAGATTAACGATATAGAGGACGAAGGAATTATCATTTAAACCGATCAAATAGGGATGTTTTGTGTAGCAAAGAACATAAACAAACACAACTGAAATTTAATAACACGTAGTTTTTTGATGATATGACAATAAACCATGTAAATATTTTTTTTTCTTATAAATCTCATATACAAAAATTTCATTTAAAACCTTTGTGTTAAAATTGGATTTTGATAATAGTTATTATGAAGTTAGCTAGAATTTTTACTGTTCTCTAATCCAAAAATTTAATCGCGTAATGCAATATTTTTACACAAAGAGCTTAGTTTTTAGTACAATATGAACAAAGAAGATTTTTCTGTTTTTTTTGTTGTTTTTTTTCGATTATGCAATATATTAAAATGTGATTATTTAATGGCGTTTTAATGATTATTCATTTTAAATTAGTTATTCAGAAATCGTGAGATGCGGTCTGGTGTGATAGGTTTCAGAAAAACATTTTCTTTATCGTGCCGACGTTTCGATCTTTAATGAAATCATCTTCAGGGCTCAAAGTGTTTGTCTTCTGTGTAATTGCGCCATTCTTGCGAGTCGTGTTGAGCGCGCCCTGAAGATGATCTCAATAAAGATCGAAACGTTGGCACGATAAAGAAGAGTTTTTCTGAAACCTATCACACTAGACCGCATCTCACGATTTCTGAATAATTATCTACTAACGGTCACTAATCACCACACATTTTAAATTAGATTTTGATTATAAGATATATAATATATTTAAATTTAATGTCAATTATTTTGAAACTTGGGGTGATAGCAGATATTGCTAGTTTTATATCTATTGATCTTTTTAATCCGTTAAAGGAAAAAAAAGAGAGAAGGTAAAAACACCCCCGAGTCTAATAATAATTAGGCATTTTTTAAAAGAGCGACGAAGCTCAAAGAGACGGACTTTGGATAAGTGTAATTTGCGGAGTCATTGAATAAAAATTGAAATTAAGAAAACATTTTCAATTCCGTAAAAATTAAACGTTGAAAAATTAAGTGTGTTAAATTAATTAAATGAAGGATTAAGTCTGTTTACGTCTAAATGATATTCTCGATTTAAAACAAAAACAATGAGACAAATTAAGGGCAGAATTTTCTTTTATCTAGAAAATGAAAAAAGAAATTCAATTGAATGGAATTTTTTGCCTGTCTTAAGGCAAAGTTTTAAGTTTCAGTTCCTTCCACATGCTTCGGATTCGGTACGATCTAGAGTGGAAAAACTGGGCGTAAATGGCAAGTTTATTCTGAACTTAAAAAATAAACAAAACACTCATGGAAGCGTTTTGAATTTAATTATTGAATCAGCTGTTGGGAGTGTGAGAGACAGTGCTGCGAGTATCCTTGCTGCTTTAGCAAGTACTGTAGGCTTGCTCCAAATCCGAAATAAGCAGGTTGAGCCCCACAAGTAAGCTCATTGTTGCAGCGTGGAAGAAGAGACCATTGTTGAAGCAGTGGACACATAGAAGATAACTTCGCTTGATATACTGAGATATCTTGAGCAAAGTTTATTATAACTGGTGTTAGAGATATAAATTAACTACTGAATATAATAATAACTACATGGATTGTCTAATCCAGGAAAATGATCAAGTATTATGCAATAGGACATTCACGATTGCCTAACAACCAGTGATCTTGACAAAGCTGTCTTTATCAAACAGCCCAAAACTCAATGATAAGGTACATTATGATCCTAATGATTAAACACTCGTAAAGATTGAAATTGCGATTGATACCCTTTTAGGGTATAATCGGATTGAAGGGGCAAAACTTAGGTCAATTACGGCATAATATTCATAAGGCTTTCTCTTGAAAAGCTTCTCGTCCGGTGATCAAATTACTTTAACAATATTGCCTCGCGTTTATANGAGAGTACGATAGAAACATATAAAATGAAAGAGAGAGAGAGAATGTGAGAGGGAGAGAGAGGAGAAAAAGATAGATAGATAGATAGAAAAAAAGAGGGAGGGGGAGAGAGCGTGTGAGAGAGTAAGTAGATAGATAAAAAAAGAGAGGGAGGGGGACAGAGAGTAAGTAAGTAGATAAATAGAACAAGAGACGGAAAGATAGTGTAAGATTGGTAGATAGAAAAAGAGAAGTAGAGAGGGATTGATTGATTGATTAAACGTTTTATTTAACCACGCAAAGTTAGGATCTTTCTTCCACTTAACGTGAAGTGAGTAAGAAAGATAGATAGGAAAGGAGAGAGAGAGAGAGAGAGAGGGAATAATTTTTAGAGAGATAATTTTTCCAATTTGATACAAATAAATATATGTTGATGAAAGGCAATTATTTGAAATTTGGCCGTTACAGATAATTTTGTTCATCCCATGCTCGCTACCTTGGTCTGTTTGATGGCCGCCATCTTCAGTAGTAGCCGAATCCAGAGAGTATAGGCAAGCCTATGAATGGTTGACCAAAAATTTCATGTCCACCAACCGGAGACTTAAGAAATAAATCTCACTATATTGTTATTTCTTATTTGTTGAAATAACGATAATTAAAGATTGTTTGTGAATGATTAGAGAAATCGTTTGCATTTGGTGTCCAATTATACTTGTAATTAGTCGAAAAGACTTATGACGGTTAAAAAAATAATAATAATACCAATCAATTGATGGAATCGAAAAATTATTAAGGTATGTAGTGATGGAAAACGCAAGCCGATAACAGTGAGACACTCATAAAAATCGTCACGAATGAGAACTCGGCCAATGTAATGGAGTTTGTCCGAATCGATTGTCGAGTGGTAGCGCGAGTGGTTGAACAATTAGAATATAATCTAAATCTTTATTAACACTTTATAGGGAGTGTATTGTTTGGGGATTTGGGGTTGGCCGTCGGTAGGGTGGGGTTGAGGGTGGCTGAGGGTGGTTGAGGATTGGCTGTTCGCACCCCGTCGGCACCGCCTCTGAACCACCCTTAACTTTGAACCGAAAGCACAATCGGACAAGGCGGCTGTACGAGAGGTCATGGGCGAGCCGTCGAAAATCTGCCAGGAGGCTCTTAAGCCGAGGCCTTCCTCGCCGAGGCAGTTCTTCAGGAGGATCTACGGCCACCTGGAGGACAAAGACGGTGAGAAGAAGGCGAAGGACGACGACTGGAAGGCCATCAACCAAGTGCCGCCTTTGCCCTTCTCGAGGAACTTCGAAGACCCTTTGCTACTTAGACCTTTCATAACTACACCGGCTCATCATTTCCCACCTGGATTAACTGCCTTTCGTAAGTTGTTAACATAAGAAAAAAAAATTACAAGATGAACACACACTGAACTAATCTTGAATCTCAGGAAATACTCTTCCTAACTGATATATCCTGGTCTAATTTTTTATTTAAAATAATTTAAAATGCACTAAAAACTAGGAGGTCCCTTTGAGAAACAAAAACCAAAGTTAAAACACAATGAACACGGTCAAAAATAAAAATGCTATGCTTAAATTCCTTGAGAAAAACTACAAACGGTCATTTAAAATATTTTTAACAAAGTTTTTGTTAAAAAAAAGAATAGTTTTATTTCGCAGTACAGTGTCAAATGGACGATAATTTGATCAAATGTATCTTTTTTTATCTTACTTCTTTTTGTCGGTAGTCCACATTTCCACACAATTGTTTGTTTTTCTGTTGGACATCCGCGTTTGTTTTGTTCAATTAATATTGTTTGTTGTATTTTACTTTATTTAGGGGGCAAAAACACGTTAAAGTTTTGCACAAAAGAATTATAATACATAATTGAAATACATGATTATATCGTGTCCCCTGTTGAATATGAAACAGCCAATTTTATTCTAAACAAAACGTGATATGAAAATAAGTTAAATTTTAACTCTTTTTTTTAAGGTAACAATTTTTGTTTCAAAAACATTTTATTTGCAGCAGATATGATTTTTTCCTTCAATTTAACACTTTTAAATTTGAAATTAACCATTTTTAACTTAAAATTAATCACTTCTTAACTCAATATTAATCTTTTTAAACTTGAAATTAACCTTTTTTTAATTTCAAATTAACCATTTTTAACATCAAATTAATCTCTTCTTAACTTAATATTAATCTTTTTAAACGGAAAATTACCCTTTTTTAAATTTCAACATTTTTAATTAACTTAATATTAATTAATATAATTATTTAGCTTAATATTAATTTTTTCACACTTGAAAATAAACTTTTTAATTTCAAATTAATCATTTTTAACTTCAAATTAATCACTTCCTAAATTTCTATTAATCTTTTTAAACTTAAAATTAACCTTTTTTAATTTCAAATTAACCATTTTTAACTTCAAATTAATCACTTCTTAACATGCTATTAATTTTTTTAAACTTAAAATTAACCTTTTTTTAAATTTCAAATTAATCATTTTAACTTCAAATTAATCACTTCTTAACATGCTATTAATCTTTTTAATCTTAAAATTAACCTTTTTTTAATTTCAAATTAACCATTTTTTACTTCAAATTAATCACTTCTTAACTTCATATTTATCTTTATAAACTTAAAATTAAACTTTTTGTAATTTCAAATTTACCTTTAAAACCTTAAAGAAATGTTGAAAAACGGTATAAACTATAAGTATGTTAAATAAAATTCGTATATATTTGACAATTTGTTAAAATATAAATTACTGGGCTTTTATAAGACAACATGGTGGTAAATCGAAAAAACAAACGATTCTTCTGTAATTAATAAATAAAATAATTGGTCTTAAAACCATAAGAAATTAATTTGAGATTTTTTTGAAAAGACAAAAACGGTTGTGAAATAATTAATTTATAATTTTGAAAAATTGACAATTAATAGAAGATAAATTTGTTTTTAAATTTAATTTCATTTTAGTGGAGTGGTAATGCCACAATATATTATAACCTTGTTTTAAATTGATTTTATCCCATGTGTCTATAATTTTGTCGCAGACAAAATCGTTTAATTTTAGTATTTTAATAATATTTCTCTAATTTGCTGAAAAATTAAAGTTTAATGAAGAAAAATATTTATTTCATGTGTTTTGAATAAATATTTGTAGTACAAACCCATTAGATTAAAAAATCATAACAATTAGGGGTGTCTATAATTTTGTCACTCGGTTGTAGATCAAAAGGTTTTGTATATCAATGAGCACTTACTTGACTTGATTTAATTCCTGCTCACTATTGACTCTTGACTTCTCTCCACATCCTGACTGTCCTCATTTCGTGACGCGCTCTCTAAAGCACAATCTGGCTCGTATTTCCTGGCGCGCATGGTCTTAAGCCTTAAGCAGCCTCTGGGTGCATTTGGACGATAGTATCAAGGAAGCGTATAGTGTGTGACTATGCTAAAAGACTACGTCTTCTAGTCCCTCGAGATGCGTTATGGGAGTTGCTGACTTGAGAGCTGGCCGCGAACGGCGGGTGCTGCACCAGACGCATACGCGGGCTAGGGTACCGGATCCTGTTCATATATATTTTTATATATACGGACGGAGGATGGTGCATAACGATCTGCGAGGCAGCGGATTTTCATTCCAAGTTCAAGCCCAGCTGCATGGGTAAGGACTCGCAGTGACCAAACCCCTGGCGAGTATCTAGAGAAGAGGCTATGTTTCATTAGTGACAGTGGACTTGCGCATGACCTCTGAATTACCTCCCGACCTCGTGGAAATCGGATAGATCGGATTGCCGAGAGCGTATAGCCAGCCAGGAGCTATGTCCCTTGAATGCGTGAGGAATGGTGGATGGGGGGTGGGTGCTTGTCAGTGGGGCCGTCTGGCCGGCCTTTACCGTAGGCATGGTCTCCTCTAGGGGGTGGTTAGAGATTCCACTAAAATCGAAACCACGGCCGGAGCGCATCCTGAGGTTTCGACAGCGGAGCCCCTATACCTAGGGAGATCGAGTTGTCCCTATCTAGGGAGTGCATGGGAGATTGGCCAATGCAATTTCGACCATTTTTTGGCTATCCCTTTTACGCGTGGCACTGGTTAAGTGCACAATGTTAACCCACCCCCTCGGAAGGGGCAAGCGGGAGAAGTCATGTCTGTCGATTAGTCTGTAGATTTGCGGGCTTCTACACCGATCGGAGGTGAGTCGCTTCAAACTTGAGAATCCAAACGTGTGATAAGGCCTGACGGCTAGGTGCGCACGCTAAAGAACCTCAATGTTACATGACATTGCAGGCCCACTGGGAACGTATGTCCTCATTTCTTTTCAAGTGATCATTTTCACGTTTACCTCGGTCATCCCTTTTTCTCAGTGTATATCTAATCTATTTCCATTTTCTTTTTCCTATTTCAGGACTGGCCGGCTCTGCTTATTTGTTCAGGGCCACCATATTTCGAGAATCAGCTGCAGGCAGCGGCTCGTAGGGGTTGAGGTCACTAGTCAAGATTTGGGTGAATTTCCAACCTTCGATATCCTAGTGATATTTTGCTTCTATATCGTTTATAACTGTATCAATGTCCTCAGTACTTATAAATTTTGACACCATGCTTCCTAGGTACGTAGGAATTAACTGCTTCATGGTTTTCCAACGTCTGCGGGGTATACGTTCTAGGATTTATTCTCATTTGATTTGTTTTGATTGTCTTATCCAGATGAGTCGGCAAAATCAAGGTATTGAATGCCTCTTTTCCTTCCTTGCAAGCGAGCATGACCAAGATGAAGAGGGTGGGCGAAAGGATGCATCCTTGCTTAACTCCTGTCCAAGTTGATCAGTTCTGAAAGCTTCCCTTCATGGATCACTTGACATGTGTATCCTAGGCATATTTAACCAGGTTCACGATTTTTGTGGAAATGCCTTTTCTTTCTGATTGAACCACATTTGACCACGGTCTATCGAGTCGCCTTTTTTTAAATCTGTGGAGGGTAGATACACCGGGCAGCCCTGTTTTTCTCTAAGTACCTTTTTTGCTTAGCTTTCTGAAAGCGGCTTTGTTCAGCAGGGTGACACCGCCCCAGTTATTGCTTAACTATGAGACCTTTTTTCCATTCGTTTAGTACTGCCTCATTCTGTCAGAATCGACTAAAGTCAAGCCAAAACAAGCCAGGACAGTAATGCTACTTATCATACTTTAAGCTTGGATTTGTATTGTTTGAAAAGCAAGCTATCCACTGGATTGAAGATTTTTATTACCAAGGAAAAAATGATCCTTTATACTTTAAACGCAAATCAATAAATTCTGCATATTTTGAATCATCGCGACGGCTTATTTATCAACGGAAAGAGCCCCAGGGGCGCGATGAATACAAATATTGTTATTAATATTGTTACAACGGAAGAGTGGGCAGAATGGCGTCACTGTGGAAGATTTTCCGTCGCTCTTATTGTTACTATATTGTGATGTGATTTGCGTTAGTTCCACCTCAGAGGACACCCGGGGCTTAACCCACTATGTACAGACCTGAAAACATCCAACTCGGCAACTTCTTACTCAATGTAACCGGAGTTTCCACAAGATTAATTTTATTTTCAACGCTTTTTCCTCTCTCCGTTCCCTCCATCGGTGATCCCTTGAAAATGGACGTTTCAAATAGGAATCGATCATATTACTTCACTGTATAATGAAATTATAGATAGCCAATACAAAGCAAATTACGTAAAGATACGAAAATTATTCGGAACTTTTTAATTTTTTTTTTCTTTGGCACTGGAACCTCCTCATCAAGGGCAGATCTATAGGAATAGTTGGAAAATCAACAAAGCTTGTTCACGCCCCTCAAGACATTTACACAATGGCAATGTAAAATATACATAATCACCCTATTACATTATTCTATACAGAAGGCAATAAACATTGAAAAAAATAACACCTTTTAGAAGTCGAATATCAAGGGTATCAATATTTTCCAATATGGCCGATTTGTCCAATTTATCCACCATCTTAATGTTTCGAAAGACCACCTAACCATATTTTGGGTAGACAAATCAAATAGTTTTTTACTACCTTGATTATGATATTCGCATTTTGCCTCATCCTCGACTTTAAAAAGTTCATCACTATCGTTTAACGACTGCTTTGTACAAAATAATCAAACAAACCTATAAAAAAGACAAATTAACTCATTTCTTTTAAATTAATTAATTTCTAGGAAAAATACGAAAATTTTGTTATGGTATAACTAGTTCATTAAAATTGCAGGTTGGAAATTTATTTATTTATCTATCCATTATATTTTTTAATACATGCCAAATGCATTATTTTGCTACCAGTAAAGGCTTACATCTTGCACGTAATGTAATCGTGTAGAGTT